GTATTTACTTGTTTAAATACCATAACAAAATTGCCTGGATTAATTTGAAGTCTTCCAAGTTCCTCTTTTATGTATATATTTGATACATAAAACGATCAGAAAACCTAATTGATGCTGTGCTTTTCCAAATCTTCGAATCCTTGCAAATCTTATTAATAATAATATCAATTAATATACAACAAATACAGTTAATTCTTATGTAGAATAATTAATTCATAATACGTCGGATAAAATTTCGTTAGTATGGGAGTAGAATTTTTTTCTCATGCAGGATACACGCGTTTACGGTTTGCTAATTGCACACATAGTTCGGTTAATGTAATATCTGGACAATTTTGTCGAATAATGCTAGCTCGCAAAATGAGAAATTCCTGAGACTCTTTCTCACTTTGAAACTGTGGCTAAGTTTAAATGGATTTAGAGAAAAAGACTGTGAGATAGAAAGATAGAATAAATGAAAGAAAAAGTCAGACAAAGAGAAAAAGAAAAATAGATAAAGAGAGAGGGAGAGAGAGAGAGAGAGAGAGAGAGAGAAAGGGAAAAGATAAAAGAAAAGATGTTTTAACGTTCGTGCGAACGTATAGTACTTTAGTTAGGATTTTACAAATTGACCTAACGAATTTTACGTTTGTCAAATAATTAAGAGAATTGGAGAAAATCGCACGGGATAGGTGGAGGGGGTTGAAGGGGTGAAAGCACAAAAGTCAACTCGACATGTATTTGCTTGGTGAATCGTTCAAACTTCTCTGCTTCTTTCCCACTCTACTAGAAAGCTGTCTACATATTAGCTCAACAAAGTCAACTACTATTATCGTTAGCAAAAAGGTAAATGCAATTTCCAGGAAGAGTTGCGTCTATTTCAGACGCAAGAAAGATAAAGAAAAAAATAATAAAAGAAATAAAGTAAGTTTCCAGTCGAAATATATATATAAAACAAGATTTCCAAGTTGGTAACACCAAGGAAGAGTAGTATAGTTCCTTTATCGATATTTTTTTGTGAAAAAGAAGAGGGTTGAAAGAATCGAGAAAGTAGAGGATGACGGGTATAAAAAAAATTATTTGATTTCCTTCAATCACCGCCGGTAGTAGTTACCCCCTTCTACCCCTTCTACCCCCACGAAATACTCACCCCGACAAAGATTAAATATAAATGAAAAATATATTAATAATACGTTGATATGAACGTCGAGTCGATTGATTTATTTCTAATTAAATTTTCAATTAATATATTAATAACATAATATCATTATTATTATTATTATTATTATTATTATTATTATTATTGTTAAATATTTCTAAGCATTTATCAAGATAAAGATTTATCTAATATTTCTCGTTTCTCTTTTTTATTAATTGCACAAACATAATCCCATGGCAAGTAGGGGCAATTACGTTAGCGGATAAAACACGATGGTGGAATATAGTTATAATAGTTATACACTACGATCACGTTTACCATCATCCAACTACGTGTTTGCAATAATTATTTTAAATACGTTCCCACGTAAAACATTCTTCTTTGTTTTGTTTCTTTTTTTCCTTTGTATTTGTTCAAGTCGTTTGAAATAAATTGCATTTATTGGGATTATTCGTTAGAGGATGAATGGATGGGTGGGTGGTTGGGTTGGTAGATAATATCGGTAATGATTTGCGTACGCTTTCGCGAAAATGGCAATAAAATAGTAGATGAATATGAAAAGAGGTAGAAAGAGAAAGAGAGAGAGAGAGAAAAAGAATTGTTTTTAATCGTTTATGTTATTAGCGATAACAAAAACAAATGCCATAGGATGATTATAAACGTATGACACATTAGGTATTATTGCTAGAGCATTATACTGAAAATATGCAGAAACAATGAATAATGCGTTTAATGCAGCCGTATCGATTACATATAACGTATCGTTCATTTCTTTCTCTCTCTATATATATGTATATAAAATAGGTATATATAAATATGTATATATTCTCTATTCATATCAAGCCAGTTAAAAATGTATGCGAGGAAGGAAAATCGAAATAACAAAGATTTATTGACGATACATTATCGATATTAACAGTCTCGAAAGTACGCAGAGATCGAGTGTTACTAATGAAAGTTAGCCTAGCATCGATTGCACTATATCTTTTCGAAATCTTTACAATGTTTTATATATATATACATTTTATATATATATCATAATACTCGAGTAAACAAATGACGTGCAGAAAGATAAAATCATATTTTATGACCGAGTTAAATGAAGAATAGAAAATTACAAGAATAACTATTATAATAAATATTCAAATATCACATATTTTTTTCTCGATACTTTTTTTAAAAATAAAAATAAAGGAATAATAATAATAATTTTTCACGATAGATCATTCGTTCTTTTGTTTGTTTTGTTTTGTATTGTATTGTTTCTTTTTTTTATCTCAAATAATCTCCGTTAATATTTGAATTTATTTAAATGAATGTGACAAAATATATTCTAACGTGTTTGGGAGACGCGTTACGAGGAAAATGAAAATGAAAATAAAAAACATCCTTAATTGGAAACGTTACTTTTAATGAGGAATAGTCGATGAAATGTCTGACTAGAGTTAGCAATTACTACTTCAGCACTCTCTGCATAGTAGAATATATTCGCACGATATAAATGGATATATACAAATGATCTGTATAGGAGAGAAAATTTTATGAATAACAATTTTAAAAAAATAGAAAAAATTATGATATCAATGATACCATATATATATATATATTTTATCTCAGCTGTTTTTATAAATAAAAAAAAAGAAGAAGAAAAAAAAGAACATAGATAAAAGACAATATCGCACGATAAATAATTCATTTTTCTTTTCGTATCACCAACGCGATCTCAGTTGAACATTTTTATTTATATACATATATATAAAAGAACAAATTTATTTTACAAATAGTAGCGTTACATTTATTATAATGTAGTTGATTTAAATGTTTGACTAGGGGGGGGGGGATTAACACTTACTATTTCTATGATATAACTGTGTAGATTATTTATAGAACACAGATCGTATATATCGTACCCTATCATCGATAGACGACTTTCTCTCTCTCTCATTCTCTCTATTTCTCTATAGTTTACGTTTCACTACTACTGCATCATTACTTCGGACGCGAAGGGTGATTACGAGCTTTACGAATAGCCTGCAATAAAAGCGAACTTCTGCTTTAATTCGACATAACATCGCGGGCCATTAAGTAGAGCCGGTACTTCGTCATTTCACCATCGTATCTAACTCCTACTACTACTACGTGTCATATACAGACCCACACACACACACACACACATACATTATATATAATACATGCTTACACCTTTTGTTCCTTGCCATACGTTGGTCATTAAATCGAGAATGTTATTTTAAAGTAAGTGCGTATCCGAACTTATTCGTGTCTAAAATTGTTTTGAATTTTTCGTGAAATATCCATTAAAATCCATTCGAACGAAATGCCACATAATTTTTGATCTATCTAAAACTTACTTCTGTTAAAAAAAAACAGAGAGACAAACAAAAATAGAAGAACAAGAATGAAAATAAAATAATAAAGATAAATCCAGCAGTGTACCTTTATAAGGAACTCCAATTACAAAAGTATTCCGAAAGAAAAAGGAAAAACGTGAGAACAAAACTTTTTCCAAATGATCGTACTTTGATAAAAGAAACTCTCCACAAAAGGTAAAAAGAGATAGAAGTCCTCGTGTGTAAAATCATCAGTCACTATTTCTACGTCGAACGAAATGGAGATAAATTTGAGACGCGAGATTAACAAAAAAAAAAAGACCAAAAAAAAGAAACGGAAAAAAGAAAAGAGAGAGAGAAGGAGAGAGAGAGAGAGAGAGATAAAAAAAACGAAACAGAAGGGGAAAAAAAATCTCGTGGAAATTCTATGGAAGCATTTCGTTGCAAGAGTTACTACCGACTATGTGAAAAGTCGCGGTGAATGTGAAAAAGGGGATAAAAAAAAAAAGAAAATAAAAAAGAAGAAAAAAAAGCCATAGAAAGACTAGGCGAGAGAAGAAGAAGAAAAAATAATGATAATAATAAAAAATTAAAAAGAATAAAAGGGGGAAAAAAAAAATTGACAACTTTACGCGAAAACGTTGTCAAACGTTGCATTTACATCAAGATTCGTTTTTTCACTTTTCTCTCTCTCTCTCTTTCTCTCTTATTTTTTATCCTTTAACTTTTATGTGTGCACATTTTGCGCATCTTTTCTTCCCTTTCAGTTTCTCGTTTGCACCATCAATTATATCAAGAAAGCAGAGATATTTCGGATTCTATCTCTATTTCGCGGTAATATATCTGCCGCCTAGTATATTACACTTTTAAAAGCTGTGAATGGGGAAAAGCAAGAACGCGTTTATCGTTATCGTTTGACATCCGAAAATTTCACTACTGACTTTAGAAACGTTGAAAGTGTTCTTACGTTTAAGTTACATTTCTTCAGTTCCTAGAGAATCCCGTCAAAAATTTTTCTTCAAATAATAAACACCGATAAACTCCACTAAAAAAGAGAAGGAACGACGAAGAAAGGAGGAAAAAGGAAGAGAAGAAACTTTTTGCATACCGTAAATATTAAACGATCCATTATTCACCTAACTTCGGCCCGTTTCATTTCGTAATAATAGTTCTTCCATAGTACTCTATGGGGGGTCAACGGAGAGAAAATGATAGCACCCTAGAGAATATCGGTCTTGTTTTATCTCTATCCTACTTTATTTTTCGCTTTTTCGTTTTTTTTTTTTTTTTTTTGAAATTTTTCCCGTATTAGAAAATCTTTTCCCGTTAACGTACGAAACACTTTTCTTCTTTCAGATTTGATATATATTTATATATATATATATGGTTTTTACGATACATCGGAAATAATTTATGACAAGTTTTAAATAATTTTCCAAGCCATTTAATCGCTGTTTAAGGTAGACGATAAAAAATGTTTAACGTTAGCTTAAGAAAATAAAGAACGTAAGAAGATATTTTATCAAAGATTTATTACTTATATGATACTCTGATAACACACAAAATCTATACTAACAATTATTAAATATTTATTTGTTTTATTTTTAAATGTGCGTTTTAATATTCGCAATAAATTGTTTTCAAACGGCGATAGGTTTATCCGGTAAAATTTCGAAAGTTTCAAGAACAATTTCCCTTAACCGATTTCTATAAGGTTCTACTTTTTGATATTGACTTTGTATAAGTTCGTAACGTTTTTCACCGTAAATAAATTCTTCAAATATATCGGGCGATTCCATAAACTGTTCCGTAGCTTTAGGTGGCATCAACATTATTTGAAGATTCATCAGGGCGTAAAATAATGCTATGTGTTTAACATCGTCGCAACTTTGGCGAAATGTCGTCCACGATAAACACTCGTCGACGTTGACTCCCTCATCTTCTAAAGATTCTTTCATGGTTTCGTGATAAATCTTCAAAAGTGATTCGAAATATCGATCTCTGGTGGCACGATCGGTTGTCAAATATAAACAACAGACAACATCCATGGCAGGTGGACAATAACGTGCCAACTGAAAATCTATCAAGTAACAACCAATTGGTGTACCATTAGAATCGTGTTTGAACATGATATTGTTTGCCCAAATGTCGCGATGACATAATACATTGCGATGCTTGTTAGATGGCTTTAATATATTGGGTAAAGCCCATACCCAAGAATTCACGCGTTTCTTTAAAGATATTTTTTGTTGTTCGTTTAAACTATCGATAAGATCAATGGTAGCTGAAATACCATAGATAGCAGCTTTCATTCCCTTCTTTGATAACTCGTCATTGGTATAAAGTATTTCGTGAAGTAGGTGTCCGTAAAGATCGAGTATCGTTCGTCCCGTACAACGAAGCTTTTCGTCAAGGATCAAGGATCTCGAATGAAACTTAGAAAGTGCTCTCATTGTCCAAATGCAATGTTGTTCATCGAATGGTACATGTTTGTCGTGAGTTACGTATCCCTCGAGTTTCACATTTTCAAGTATTATAATAGAATCCTTCTTGCACAAATAACACTCGACGAACCACTTAAAACCTTTACCAGCACCCATTCTACGTATCACATCGGTGTAAAATATTATCTCTTTGTTAAACGTGTCGTATCGTGAAATATATTCATATTGTGGGCTATCAGTTGGCGGTGGTGCTTTAGCAAAGAAATCCAATTTCTTCGTACTCGAGTCCTCGAATTTAACGGTCACGCGAATATTGTAATATTGACCCAGATAACCACTCGTACTCTCAACCGATACCATACTCATTTTCAATACATTGAAATTATTATTACCGCGTAACTTACGATTAACTATATATCTCAGATCCTGATCGGATAGAAGAATTTCTGGTTGTTGTTGCTGTTCTTCTTGAAAATCCTTCGGTGTAAATTGATGCAACGTGCAATTAGAATCAACGCTAGTTGCCATAGTGTACTTTTTTTTGTCTTTTTTTCTCTCGTTAAATGATTACCGAGACAATCGATTTGTGTCTGTCTTTTATACCTAAAGTGCACTCCTTAAATATTCGAAATTCGTTCGAAATGTTACTACGTAAACCGTGCTTTTAAAATCGCGTAATAAATCAATGAACGACGAACGATGAACAATGATGAAATTTCTCTTATTATAACACGACACAACGACTTATATTCCTCGCACTAAATCTTATCTTCGCTCGTGCATTGCTTTTGAAAAAAAGAAAAAAAAGAAAGAAAAAAAATAAAGAGAGAAAAAAAATAATAATCACGTGAAGTTTTCTCAGAAGATTACCTTTTTTTCTATTTCTCGTATTTAACTAATAATAATTTGAAGATAACGATTGTCGGAATTTTACCGGAGATAACAGCAGTGTCTTTACTTCGTTTGCTTGCATATCAAACTTGTCTTTAGTGAAATCCTTCGTATAAACAATAATCGATATAACAAATGATAAAAAAGAAATGTATCCACGGAGAAAAGAGACAAGAAAAATAGAAAAAAAGCTTAAATTGGATTCGTCGAGTATAATATACTATATGGGGATGAATAAAAAAAACGTCGTGTTATTTAACCACGCGAATCCATCGACTCGAAATGAAAAAGAAAAATAATAACGACGTAGTAGAGATGAGTTAAAGAGAAAGAGGGAGGGGAACAAAAAAATTAACAAAATAAAACAAGAAGAGATGAAAAACGAAAATAGAAGAAGAAGAAGAAAAAAAAAAAAAAAGAAGAGAGAAGTGTATCTCGAATTTTAATTAGACTGATTAATGCGGTTGTCGTATAAATCCTTCAAACGATCTTCAAATATATGCATTTCACACGAGACAGTGTACTGTCTGAGTGACGAGGAGAGTGAGAAAGAGATAGAGAGAGAGAGAGAGACGATATCGCAATGCTAAATCGAAAGATTTGACGAGAATGCAAACGTCATTAAAAACGTGCCCGTTTTTACATTTAATGTAGAAGTAGATTTAATTTTTCTTTCTTTTTTTTTTTTTTTTTTTTTTTTTTTTTTTTTTTTCTTTTTTTCTCTCTCTCTCTCTTTTTTTTTATTTCAAATGATATTTAAAAAAGACAATACGATACAATGAACTTCCTGGAAAAAAAATATTCTTTCGTGGTTTTCCATGGAATTGAGAATTTTTTTTTTCATTATTATTAGAAAAATAAGACGGAAAAAAATGTATAAGAAGACAAAAAATGAAAAAAAAAAAAAAAAAGAAAACGGTCGAAGTAAAAATAAATCCAGGTCGTAATTCTCGTCTAAGAATGAGTGATTGGTTTCATATAAAAAAGTTTTCCGATAGGAGTCGTTATAGATACACACACACACACACACACACACATATATATATATATACAGGGTGTCTGAGTTGTTTCCGGCTAAAAGGTGTCAGCATATTCTATGCACGTAAATAAGAAGAAAAATATTGCATAAGCATAGATCGTTTGTAAGTTTGATTAAAAAATTATCATTAAAATTATGATTGTCCTTAAATTTCTAATTGTTTATGGTTATCCTTGTTTTCTTATAATTATCTATCATGTTTATTATTTCGATGTGATTTAACAAATAATCCCAATAAAATTTTCCGATAGTATAGAGAAAGCATCGTTCAATTTGTTTCGATTGTGTATTCAAAATTAAGTGAAACAGGTTCGTTTTATCTAACAATAGTGTTGGGCTTGCATTCATTTGGGATGATCAGCACTTCGAAACAAGAGATTAAGTGATTTACTATACGTGTCATAAAATTTGTAATTAAAGTTATTTAAACAACCTATGGGGGGTACATTTATAGAATATCATTCGTTCTTATTTTCGCGAATAGAATTTGTTGAAAACAACGTTTATTATTTGGCCGACAAAAAAAAGAACTTCAGACACCCGTTATATTTTTATATTTATGTCCTATGTATATATAATATTCCCCAAACGTGGCCATTATTTCATTGGGGGTTACTCGATATCCCCCATCATATTCTATCGTGGATCGTATGTCATCAACACACAGTGAACGTAATTAAGCATAGTCGCTTGTACGTTGAACATTTGCTAATTAAAATGGACAAGCATATCGTATGAATTAACATGATCGTACATTTGAAGGAACTCGACGTCGGATCTCTCTAGTTTATCATAGAATAAATCATATTAACTTAATTCGCGTAAAAAATAATTATTAAAAACAAAAAAATCACTAAAAAACGGATTAATCATTATCATCATAATAATATTATATAACACGGTAAAGAAAATAAATATAATATATTATATTTGTATAACAAACTTATGTTATAGTTAGTTTGTTCTATTAATTAGAAATGTTCTTAGGAAGGGAACCTTTATAAAATATCCCTTCAGTTAACTGAAGGAACAAGTTTAAACAGCCTTTGAAAATTGACTGTTGCTTTCCAAAGGTAAGGTAAGGGAAGGAAAGGGAAGGGTAGGGAAGGGAAGGGAAGGGAAGCACGGAACCGGTAACTTCTTACAAACAATATATTTAACAATGTCGCACTCTAGGTAACACCCTAGCTGGTTATGCTACTTTACGCTTAAGCGAAGATAATTCGATTAACATCATTCTACAGGACAAGTAAACTGGGTGGAGGTAGTAGTAGCCGTGTACTTTTGGGCTTAAGTAATATACATAATAGGATAATTACTGTTGCAAAAGTTTACTTGCTTCTAACGTGTAGCTTCGAACAAAAAAAAAAGAAAAAAAAAAAAAAGAACGTATAGAAAAGGAGAAGAAATACTATGCAGGTTCTACACAAACGCTTACGCAACGTGATATTTTCACAAAAGGAAGATTATACTCTTTGACTTTTCAGTTGCAAATCGTTTAAAAAATGCATGTTCTTTTTTTTGTTTTTTTTTTATTTAATTAAACCCTCGTTTGACGAGCTTTGAATATGATAAACAATGCGACGTGAAATTAAAAAATGGAACATAGGCATTCTCAACTATCTATTATGTCATTAGGTTATACGCGTGCGCGAGCAAAAGGAAAAGAAAGAGAGATAATTCGTAAATTTTTAATTTTTTCTTTTTCTTTCTTTATACCTTTTTGAGGGGAGTAAAAGGAAGAGGAGGTAGGAGAAGGTTCTGTTTTTTTTTTTTTTTCTTTAATTCTTTTTAGTCCGGTAGATTTATAATTACGTTCGTAGGCACATGCAAACGGAACTGGAACGACGCTGTACTCCCAACTACGCGTTCATATCCTTTTTTTTTTTTCTTCTTCTTTTTTTTTCCTTCTTTTTTTCCTTTTTTTATTCTCACAAATAGAACACACGCGTCTCGCAGTGCACAGGGGGTCGAACGTACGTACGTACGAACGAACAAACGAACGAACGAACGAGCACGATATAAATGCCATTCTAATTAATCGACGCGGTTTTAATTAAACTTTTAATTAACGAGTCGGAAATAAACAACGATTCGAAGAAGAAGAAGAAGCGTTTGCTGCTCTGACCACGCGTACGAATGATTAACTGCTGCTACTTCTACTACTGGAAAATATAGGGAAAACTACTCGAAAGTAGAAGAAGATTAAGAAGAATAAGAAGAAGTTTCAAAGGAAAAAAGAACAACAACAACGAGAAGAACGATCGTTTAGTTATTTAGAAACGAAGAAACGTTTTTATACGCGACTTGCATAGAAATTTATTATAAATCTTTGGTTAATAATCGGAATCCACTGTCTTCCAATAACAACAACTTTTCTCCTACTTTGTTAGTCTATCTTTAATTAAAGTGACGACGAACTTTGAGGACTCCTAAATTTGTTATTTAGTCTTAGAATCTGTTTGATCTTACTTTGCTTGAATTATTTACGATAAGTATGGTTTATAACTGATAATACAAACTTGTCATAAGAATTAGAAATAATTTTGATTTTCTTGTTTATTTTTCGTTAAATAATAATTAATTATAGAAGATATATTGTTTTGTTGAAATACAATTCGTTGATTAGAATGGAGAGTGACGATTAGGTCTACTTGAATGTTAGTGTCTCTTATCGAAGTTGAAACGTTTCGAGAAACTTAGCAATCACGATGATGCATTCGATTTGAACAATACTGTGATCTTCAGGAAAACGTCTCAATTCTCTATTCTTAGTTCTATCGGATGTCTAATTTAGAATCCTATTCAGAGAATGCCAATACGTTGTTCGTCAATTTTTATTTAAAAAAAAAAGAAAGAAAAATGAACGAACGGTATTTATAAATTTTGTAGAAAATTATTGACAACTTGTATAACCAAGATCGTTTGAAGGAAGAATGAATATTGTCGATAAGAAAAAAAGTAAAAAAAAAAAAAGGTATGATAAAGGTAACCATAGTACTTCTGACAATTGTAAGAGTTATCAACTCAACGAGTATATCCTAAAAAGATCGATAGTCGTGTGCCGGTGTATGTAAATTTCCCACAATCGGATCTACGCTTTCCACACGACTTTATACTTTCAACCTGGATACAATGGGGAATTTTATATCCGTTAGAAACTTAAAAAGATCCCTGAAAAGTTGCGTTACAATGGTCTGGATGTATACTCTACGTGTATGTACGTGCTCGTATATATGCGAGTGTACTTACACCTGTACAAGAAAATACAATATATCATAGAAGTTCCTTTCAATGATAAAAAGAAAATAATCCATAAAGAACGAACGACTTGCGAATTGGCTCAGTGTATGTATATACGTATTCCTTTAGCGATTTTTCATATCAAAAGTAAACGAGAACAAAAAAAAAATCTTATGAAATTCAATTGAACAAATAGGGATAATCGTTTTCTACGATTCCAGTCATGAACTTTCTTTGTTGGTATTATTATTCTTTTAGTCATTTTTAATTCATATAAAAATAACGAAAAAATGTGTTGTTGGGGAAAAATAATGAATCATTTTTTGTTAATGAACGTTAGATTATTATCGGTGGCTATAATATTACATATAGTATCTAAAACATATAGTATCTATAAACACAACACTAAACACTTTGTAAGCAGCTGTGAATGAGCACGAGAGCTAGAACTTAACATAAATAAACAGGCTAGGTATACAGGTGGGGCATTACGATTCTCTTTATGAGTTTCACCTTAGAGAATAGACTAGTATACTGCATATACTTGCAAGGAATATACATAAGAGAGAGAGAGAGAGAGAGAGAGAGAGAGAGAGAAAGAGAGACTGGTAAGTGATCGTATTTTCTCATTCAATTAAGTTTACACTTCGTTTATTAAAGATATATATATATATATACATATCAATTTTAAAGGGTTCTAACGATTTCATTTTTTATCATAAAGTGCATATAAACTTCATGATCATTCGTAAAAATAATGTATATATGAACGTTCGAATATAATTTGATTTTTATTTAAAAAAATAAAAAATGTTTATCTCGATTTATTATAAAATAAATATTTATATAATTCTCGTTGTGTGTTAACACGTTTGAAGTTCTCCTCTGATCTCGTCAGCAATCAAATTGAGATCATTACGCCGGTAGAACTCACGTGTTTGCGAAGCCCGATATAGGGATTTATCAGGGTAATCGATTTGCTGACGATTCGGACGACCGTACCAATGATTGCTGATCATTGGGACGATATGATGTTTGTTCTCTTGGTAAATCTCGGACCAAATCAAAGAAGGATTCTTACGGTCAGCTCGTAACTTTCGAAGATCGAAATCTTCTTGTTTGTGCAATCGATCGTATCCCGATACAGTTTCGATTATTCGAGTATCTTCCTTCTTGTTATTAAAATATGTTATCGAGTTACGCGGTGCAAATGGTTCGAGAGTAGTAACCTTAAATTTGATATTTAAATTATTTCTTATTAAACGACCACAATTTTTATCTATCGTTCGTGACAATACATTATTAGGTTGTACCAAAGGTTCGTGCGTTTTTTATTAAATTTCACAAAAATAATCCATTATGCAGTGTTTGTATGCACAATAAATGCATGAACTTTTGATTCATCCTAATATTACTCCTGTTATTCTTTATTTTTATTTTATTTTGTACTTGTTTTTATTTTTGTATTTTACCCCATCGATACGTTTCCATTTGCGAATGTGTTCCACGGTTGCTCTCATTCGAACCAACGGTGTGATAAATTCGATAAATTCGTGCCGATCCATCTTTACTATTTAAAATTCCACACGAACGATATGTCAGTTTTATAAATCGAAAATCAATCTCTCTCTCTCTTTCTCTCTTTCTCTCTCTCTCTCTTTGTATCTCCGTTAGCAGATTACCAGAACAACAACGGCAAATTTGCAAACTTGTTTTTTATTTTTATTTTTATTTAAATTAACACGCGCGAACTATATTATATATTTGCCATTGCGCCCAAAAATATATTACATTTGATAAAAGAAAATATGAAAATAAATGGAACAAGTTAACAGATCACGCGTACAATGGACCAGAAAGAAATGTTATCCTAAACGTCAAGGAATGTTAACCTAGTGAATGAAGAAACGTTACTATATCTACTACTATTTCATTCATACATTGACTATTAATGGACTTGATTGACTACTAACAGTCACACCGCGCCATCTTACGAAATAAGCTATAAGTTTACAAGTCATTCATTAGTTCGACTACTTTATGTCGTGAGGCGCTACTTGTACAAGGCTCGATTAATTTGTCAATGAAAAAAAAAAAAAAAAAAAGAAAAAATGTTCATTCGCAGAAATGAAATAAAAAAAAAAAAAATAAGAAAACAAAATTGTACTATAACAGTACACGAAAGCAGCAGTACTTTTCGAAGTGTTTCAAAAAACAAAACAAAAAAACAAAAAAGAAAAGAACAATTCCTCGTTCGTATCCAAAAGGGTTTAGAAGAAAAAATAAATGGATGGGAGGCAGGAAGGGGGGGGGGGATATGGAAGAAATTGGAATTAGAAAAAGAATATATATATATATCCTAATAAGTGAAATAAATGAAAGCAATAATATAAAAAGGGGTAATAGTCGAATAAGGAAGTGTTTATTGTGATTCTAGTAATGACTCTTAACGCGTTTTCTACGGTTTATCCAAGAATGTCTCATACATTCCTAAGCCTAATCACAAAAGGGCACGAATATTCCCATGAGGAGAGTTGCCTTTTTCGTACGTTCTGACTTCCAAGTAAAATGCTAGAAGGCGAACATCTGCAGAGGTGAACAATGTTCCTTAGCACGCATACACCTAAACACGTAAGCTTACTGTTATAGCGTACTACCTCTGAGGAAGAGGAGGAGGGGGAGGAAGAGGAGGAGTATGCTGCTGCTTTAACCTCCGAGACGTGGAGAGTACTACTACTATACCTAACCACTATGATACCCGAAGATCAAGAAGAAGATTCATTTCTCTACTTTCGTTGAATCCGAAGCGAATGAACCTACCGAAAGGGGGGAAAATACCATAGAATCTTCGATGTCGGACAATAGACACGCCTTGCGTGGTGCTAGTTTCTTCTTAGAAATATCAACGCTAAGGGGAGAAAAAGTTTGGAACGTCAAACGGGAAACTATTTCAAACGTTCCCAAGGAAACTCTACTACTACGAAGGCTGTCAACCTAGGATTTATCAAAGAGAACAAATAGTTTTCTATCTGTAAAAAAAAAAAAAAAAAACGTACATTCGATAAAATACTATTTCCTAATTCTTTCTCTCTCTCTCTCTCTCTCTCTCTCTCTCTCTGTCTAGCTTTCTGCATATTGAGTTTAAAAATCGAGTTAATAAAATAGAACGTTCTTCCGTTCATTAATTCACAGAAAAAAGAATAGAAAAGAAACGAAGAATGAAAAAACTATAATAATATAATCCATTATATATAAAAGAAAAAAAAAAAGACTTCAACGTTTATAATTATTATTAATTTAAATTCTTAACGAAGCTAACAATCATTCCATGCATAAAGATATTTTTTTGGAAATTTTTCCTAGTAATACGTTAGACAGACAGAAACAGAGAAACAGAGAGAGAAAGAGACATACATGTGTACAGACGTAGGTAGTAGGTAGATTCGAAGGTAGTAAATGGGTAGGTAGGTAGGTTGTACTCAGTATAGTATATGTACTGCTAGAAACGTGAGAGTTCGTTACGACTTGCGACGTGCGTCAGACGAAAAGGTGGGGTCTAATCAAACTGAGTCCGTCCGAGGAACACGGTTAATTGCCTAATCAAATTAGTATAAGCAAACGTCGGAAACTCGGAGAATTTCTGACCCGTCAACGAGTCACGTTTTACCGTTTGTCGACTACAACGACAACGACGACGACGACGACGACGAACAGGAGGAAGAGAAGAACGAAGAGGTGGTTGGTGATGGTGGTAGTAGTGATGGTGGTGGTGGTGGAGGAGGAAGAGGAGGAGGAGGGGTAGGAGAAACTCGCATCGCGAGTTTGCGCCCGTTTATATCCAGACGACCCTCGTCCACATCCATCCATCCATCTCTTCTCTTCTCTTCTCTTTCAATGGAAGAAGATAGAAGCGTCGTGACGAAACGAAGAATCGAATCGCGTTTGCACGTGCCGATTGTCCATCTCACCTGAGCTTATCTCGATCGGTGAAAAAAAAAAACCACCACCACTACCACCACTACTACCACTACCACCAAACTCGTTTCTCCTCTTCGAAACGAACGAACGAACGAACGAACGGAGTTCTTATAAACTGAGAACTACTACGCAACCGCTCCGGTTTCTCTATCTCTTTTTCTCTCTTTCTTTCTTTATTTATTTATTTCTTTCTTTTTCTATATTTTATCGCGCGATCAAGTAAAACGTAACTAAATCCTATCTTCACAAGTAGATAGGATTGATTGTAAAGAGATATTGAATAGAATTTGTTGTTAAGCAATCGAATGGTAATACGATGGTAAACCGTGAGGGGGGGGGGAAAGGGAGAATCGTCATGATTTAACGAATATGGTATTGGTACATTCTTGTAACGCGTTTGTTGTCTCTTGCCTTAGGGAACACCGGTGTGTACTCTCGTCGAAGAAGCGGTCCAGATAGAGAGGAAAAATAATAGAAAAAGTATCATCAGAGAGACAGAGTTAGTATAGAAGGGAGAAGAAGAAGAAGAAGGGTTTGGAAGAGAAAAGAAGGGAGAATTGAGGAAAGAGTAGTAGTGGGAGGTGGTAGTTGATGATAGAAGAAGAAAAGATGGATAAAGCAGGGGGTGGTGGGAGGGAAGGGGGGGGAAGAAACGTATAGACTACTCTTCTCATACGACACATAGGGCAGAGTTTAATCAGGTTCGACTAGTTAGTCAGCAGGTGCGAGCAACTCAAGCACGCACGCACGCATTCACACAGGTAAGGAGGAGTGGAAACGGAAGGAACGAACGAGGAGCGAACTAGCGAGTGGCCTCCGAGAAAACACAACTCTCTGTAAGAGCACTTCTCTCCTATACCTACCCTACCCTACCCTAAGACAGCAAGAAATGTCAGCATCCGCAGCCACCGGAGCTGCAACACAAACGACAACCCATCCCAGTGATTACGATCGTCATCTATCGCCACTATCTTAGTCAAAAACAAAACCAGATCTTTTATCTCTTTCTACCTATTCCTAAGAGTATTTCCAAGAGATCTTCTCACACTCGTTCAAATTTCCCCCCCTCCTTTTTTTGTTTTCTTCAATGTAACTATTGGTATCGAGGTGGTTTCAATCTTTTTGATATATTTTCAAATATAATAATATTTAAATTTAATATAGATGAATGATGAAATAATAATTAATAAGTTTTGTTGTTTATAGGTATTTTGTTCATTTGCAAAATACATTTATGTATTTCCATCGATCGAAGAACAGTCGAACTCATCTTCACTTGTACCGATTTCTTCATCGTATGATCCATGCTTATTATTAGGCTTCGTAATTTCGTAAATAATATTCTTATTCACACGTTTTGCAAGCGTGTATTATAGCAGCCATTCATGAAACCTTAATTGATCAAATAAAACTTAAATAAACATTATTATCGTACGAATTATCGCGCGTTAATTAAACCCCGAATGTAATATCTCGAGTGTTAAAAAGGGATTAATTTATAATTGTCATTTATTTTATTTGTTTTTGTAGATAAATATTCAAAAATTCATTGAGAAATAATAATAATAATATATTAAAGACAAGTGTCTGCCTGATAAATTTTCAACTCTCGTCAAAATGTATTATAAGTAACATAAAAAATACGATAAGTATTCTAGCAACGTAACAAAATGTGTGACTTTCATTAGAATCAAGAAGATTTGATCGAACTGGCATCGAATTGTCGATAGCGATAACTACGACGAAGAAGACGAGGACAACGTTGGTCGTGTTAATGGCGACGGGTCTCACCGTATACCGTTAAAAACCTCGCCAATGCCCAGTGAACCTAATTAATGGCGAGATCGTGCCTGCTCAGCAGGCAGTACCTACTATCATAAAAGCTGGACATTACGAACACGTTTCTGTCTTTCTTTCTTTATTTATTTCTTTTTCTTTTTTCTTTTTTCTTTCCATTCTTTATTTCTTTCTCTTTCAATCTCTTTCTGATACATCAACGATCAGTAATAACATAGGATCCATTCAACGATGTTCGCATATATCAAAAAGATATACTATTATAAAAGTATATATATATATATACGAGAGAATTACATGAATAGAACACGAGAAGATAGAATGATATTAAATCTTTTTCAACTTTCTTATCGTGCGACATACTAATGTAGACAAAGAGAAAAAAAAAAGAAATAATATAAAAATAGAAAAATAGAGAGAAAAAAAAAAAAAGAAAGCACAAATTTTCAATTGAATAACACAGATCGAGCAATGGTTATAAATCATCTAGGAATATTTTTACTATACTGTATTAATACGTATACCCATACTATTATATAATATAGTAAGTTCAATGATGGTTTTAAGTTCGTAATAGGATTCTTAACTAACATTCGTCATACCAGTTGTCACGCATAGCTATTAACGATGTCGCGTTGTCAACTATTTAACGGATATAATAAGCATATATCTTACTTGAGTAGCAGCAAGCAAGCAAGCAAGCAAGCAAGCAGGTTGTGCAGCAGGTACGGTAGAAAGATAGCCGCAGGACAGGAACGTGGCACGTGCTCGAGTACACCCGTTTAAAGTCCTTTTAC